TATTCAAACTTATAATCTACCTAGACCCTAGCTCGTGATAGACTACTTCCCCTATCCGGTCGGGAGCGATCCAACCGATTGAAGTGAATTTTGATTGTGGCATTCTGCCACTCCTTACTTTTGAACGTGCACAAAGCCTAGCTTCCGTGACTGGATATCACGCTGGGACACAAAGTCCGTTCTGGCGCACCAACGGCTGTTTGCCCTCGATCGAGAGCGATCTTATCCGATTGAAAATCGGCGTGAATCGTGGCCATCAACCACTCTTCACCTCGGAGCACGCAACATTAGCAAGCATCGCCCACCGTGAACCGCAAGTCACACCCAATGGACATAAAGTCAGCAGGCTTCGTCAACTAGTGACTCGAGCCTCGCGAGCCTGGCTCGCATATGCACGTCGTGGCGCCAAAGTTTTGTGCATCACGCAACGCAGGTTCTCCGCTGTTTCCAGAACCCCCCCACTGGCTTGTTACACCTGTTATATATGCGAGGCCAACGTGACCTAATACGTCACGCCACCCTCGCTTGTTATAACAGTGAAAAGCTTCTATAAGCGAACTCCAAGCCTTGTGTCTGCCCGTTTCCGGTCGTTTCTCCCTTACGGAAAAAACCCTTCTTCTTGGTGGCAGAGGCTAATCCTCTGCCAAGCGTTCCCAAATAGATGCCACGAGCACGCTGGCTAATACGTTAGGAAGACGCGCAGCGGTCCATTGCCTGTTGTTAGGTAGTCGTTCTGGAATTCGCCCTGTGATAGAATCGGAATGGATATAAATATGAGGAATGAATTCATGCAATTGAATATTTTTGTTACTAGTCATATCCAGTGCCTATGGATTTACATGTCTAGCACAATTACTGTCGTTGCCTGGGCTTTCATCATGCCATCCTTGTGAAAGAGGAGCAATCTCAATTTTAATAAAAACACGAATCTTTATAGATTAACTTGAACATGTTCATTGATAAATATATTTTACATTCAGTTAATTTTACAGAACATTGCTATTAGTAGCTGTCTTGCTGCACTACTGGCACTAACGGAATTTATTAGGAATCCATCTATTAGACCATAGACCGATTTTTATAAGAATGAGCCAAATTACAGTCTCGCTAAGAAATTGAACATGTCACTTTTAATTTCGAGAGTATCCCTCCGCCGTGGCAAGGTATCAGCCACGCCTCTTCGTAAAGTGTTTGTTTACGGCTTCCCATGAAGACTTAAAGATATTTCCCTTTTAATGGAAAAGTGATTATTTTGGATTTTAGGATTATTTCTGGTAAATTTAGAAATTCAACATCATTCCCACACGTTTTCGCATGGTAACGGCCAGACTCACGCGCAGATTCCAGCCCCCCGGATCAGAGCAAGCGTATTTGCATGATACCAAAGAAATCAGATAATGGGGGATTGTCTTTGGTTGTATCCACAAATGCACTTACAATGAGCAAAGATTTATAGAAGGTTGCATAACGTGAACATATAAAATTTTAGAAATTTCTCTCCTTACATCTTGTTGCACACCTGTGAATTCTCCTGCCATAGTTGCTGGCTCGCGCCATCAAAACAGACTTCTATACGTTTTCCCCATTATACCGACACTTTTGTTAAATTTTTTCAAGCTCTTCAAATACTTTTCGAGCGTCAACCGTTTCCTACGTTCTGAATTACAGATGAACTCGCTTCAACGGGCAAATTAACTTTTCCTTGGAATGTAGCGTACTACAACCGACCATTTTTATATGTGTCCAAACTCAGAGGTTTCTCTGCTATCATGATACATGGACGATTTTTTTCATTTATCAGCTATATTTCTGTAAAACAACGTTGCTTTGAAGCTGCAAAATATCATCTGTATCTGATTCACTGGATAGTGTACAATTTTTGGGCATTTCCCAGTATGTCAGCCTAAAAGGATCGTAGTTGTTTAAGACAATGAACTATCTCTAAATAGTAACCCTTTCCTCATTGCTATCTCTGTTGTTATGACCATACCAATAGGTGTTACCTCCTTTAGCTAAACTACGATAATATAATAACGACTTAATAAATATGATAGTTCTTTGGCGTTGTATTTCTTCTGCCCGCTATGAGTTTCTTTTCTTTGCTTCGTCATATTGTAGTCAATTGGTTTGTCTCACAAAAGCATTCCATGAATTCCATGTGTCTTGATGGTGATGCGATTTATCGTGTTTGTTTTACATTCTCTCACTATTTTGTCCCCTGCTTTAAAGATCCAGTATTTATAAAAACGTCATCTTTAGTTCCAGTAAAATCCATGTAGCATTGTAGGAAAATACGACATGCGAAACAAAATACTGCATCTGCTGCAACAGCGTGTATCGCAATACATTTGAATTTTCGAACCAGTTGAATGGAAAGATATTGATTTGTTCTAATTACCGTCTGAGGATATTATCTTAGTTTAGGCTGAAATGGGCCACGTTGATTCTGAGTTTTTTTTCCAGATCTGTTTTTAGGTAACTCACAGTTAGGATATCCCGAAGCTCGCCTAAAGTTTGCATGAAACCAGTAACTACGAAAAGAAATCAGAAACGAATGTTTTGACTATAATTTAAAAAATATTTATATAAATGTGGTATTTTTATAATAAATTTTTATAATAATTCTAATTTTTTTTAGGCTTAGTTCATATAAAATGAGGGATTCTTTTAGTAAAGTTATCTTAATGTGAAATTTAATAAATCAAGATATATTAATAAACCAACGCAAATATTAAAATAAAGAGAAATTCAGAAAATATTTTACACTTTGTCAATATTTTAATATGAAATAATATTAATTGTTCAATGGGTATCTTTTAATTTCAATTTTAAGGTGAATAAGTTTAATTTTTTTAACATTTTAAGATTAACAAATGCAGACATGAGTACAAATTGTTAAAGAGTATGTATGTGTTTAAGGTAATTGTATTTAATATACATACTTCGAGTCAGTGTAAACTAATATCATTCGATTTCATCCAGTAATTTTTCAACGCACTGGGATCGGAGACAGAGGGGTGAGAGAGAGGGGGGGAGACAGAGGGGGGAGACAGAGGGGGAGACAGGGGGAGACAGAGGGGGAGACAGAGGGAGGGAGGGAGAGAGAGGGAGTGCTATATCAGGTAGGAAGATGTTTGGGAATCGAGCTTCAGAAAACGCGGCCTCTTCCTCCGTCACAAAGCCGATGTGGCGGCTTGCCACATCAAGAGGAGAGGACACGTAAACATTGCGACGAATATCGCTACAAGAACCATACCAATTAAAAGCCATGTCCATTTATTTTCGCCCTCCCGGGAATGTGGTGTAGTTTCTGGGAATTTCGAAGATGAACTCGACGTAACAGCAATCGGGTCATAAGTTCGCTGTGTACTTTCTTCTTGTTTGTTAATTTCTTTAATTCTTGGATTCACTATCTCCGGGGAATGTGGTGTAGTTTCTGGGAATTTCGAAGATGAACTCGACGTAACAGCAGGCGGATCATGAGTTCGTAGCGTTTTTTCTTCTTCATTAGTAGGAATTTCTTTAATACCTGGATTCACTGAAGATAAAACTAATATGTTGTCAGTAGGCGGAGTAAATTCTTGCTCGTTGCTTGGTATTTTATTAACTGAAGAGATATCAGCGATTACGATACTCCCAAGTAGACACGCCCAGAACAATCTGAAAAAGAAACAAGTTTTTATTATATACAGGGTTCTTTGTCATTATTCAACATTAATTAAATTCTTTCTTAAAAAAAATGCTTCTTGGAAAATTTTATTTTCACTTTTTTAACTTGCCATCGTTTTTGTCCTGATATGAACTTTCATCAGAGCTTTTAATAAAAAAACAACTAGTTTCAACATTTACCAGGGGATGTGCAAATATATTAAAATAACAAACATTTTTTTAAAAATTTTAGTCTATAAACATTAATTAAGACAATTACATACTAATTTCCTCAATGACACGTATACATCAAGACAAATGGACAAGAAGAGTAATTAACACAGGTACTATACAATTGTGTTGTCATTAACGAATTGATGTTGTACAAGAATACTCTGTAATTCGACTATATGGCATAGCAAGCAGGAATAACTTCTGAAGACTCTGGTTGATTGTTTTAAGGTAGAGCCCTGATGAAAATGCAAATGAAGGCTGCAAAGTCGAAGAGTTGAAAAGTGACTAGTGGTGCAAAAAACCGCAGATACGTTTTCGCGTTCTTAACAACTTATGCCATTTTCCAAAATGGATAAAAATCAGACCGGTGCCATTTTCCCTCTATTTGAGAGAAAAAAGTATTTAAAAATTCTGAAGTGGATTTGGAGAAATACTGCTTTTAAAATTGCCTTTATTTCATGTCAATTACCTGACAGACTCTCATATACTATTGAAAAAATTGTACATGACCTCTTAAAGATTAATGTTGCAGAACAGATTTTAAAAAGAAACTAGGTGCTACAACATGATATACTTTCTCGCGTTATATTAACTGCTCACTTTATTTGTAGCACATTATACAGACAAGCAAGGATAATTTCACATATAACTGAGCATCAAGAACGTAAGGCCATCCAATCCAGCTTTATGAATGCATACGAAACTACGATATCATTACGTAATACCCAGTTTAGGCATATCTGGGTATATATTAAATCCGACTACCATAAAGATGAACGCACCATTTTACTGAACTTAAAGACATTGTATCATTAAAATTAAGTAAACACAGCCGCCGCATCTTCTCTCTCTCCCATCGAAGCCCCAACCATTCCGTAGGCGGACAGTTTAGGACAAACGATAATTCGAAAGGGGCGTGGCTGCCATTGTAGTATATGATTTGCCCAGAGCCATGTCGCGGTCCAACAAACAAATTCTCGGAATAACTTTTGAAATATCCAACGCTGCCTAGTAGGGCAACGCGGGGTACGTTATTTAAAAATATGGTTATAAAAGTTCGTACAAAATTATGGTTCACATTTTTTTGAATATTTATTCCATATTACATTTAAATCGTGTTTCTAAACGAGAAACCTTCATTGGGCTAATTTCAATTAAGGTTTTCGGATTGTCTGAAAGAAAATTTTAATAAAAATATCAATTATTTTTCATATCGTTTTGATCTACTCCTAATTTTCGAGAATTTTTCTCATGGCTATAAATCTTGATGGATAGAAATTAAAATGGTCTCTAGTACCTCTATGAAACGCTCAAAGGTATAACTATCCCTATAAAAGTCACTTCGATACAACACAATCTTCCAATAAATGAGAAAGCAAGTACTTCCTCGCTATATTTGTAACGCTTGCATAAGATGCATTTACTTTACAACTTAAAATAGAATACATTTTTCGCACCTAATGTGCCACGATTATTTACATTTATGTATTATCGTAGTTTATTAAGTTAAATGATATTAAGTTAAACAATGAGAAGGCATTCCTATATCCAACTGCCTCCAAGCAGTCTCAAATTTCTTTGTCTGACACCGCCTCAAAGAAACGCGGGAAATTTGAATGATTATTTCAAATCAAATTGTCGAAAATACAGTAAGTGCGCGGAAAATGGAACCCTCACAATTGTCTTTACCTTTCTTCGCAACATTTGTGGGGAAAAAAGAAAGAAAAAAATTAAAGAAAAATATTGGAGCGGTTTCTGAGAAAATAATTATTAAAAATTTAAAAACTGATTCACCCAAAATTCCGCAAAAATTATCATATTTTCGAGAATTTGAATATGATCTCATTTGAAGATGTTTTTGGAGAAAATATACCCTTAATAAAAAAGTATGAAGATAATTGTAGATGTAGAAAGACACTGAAAAAAAATGAGTGATTCCATTATTCTCGTAAGCGTCCTTCTATCAGAGGTCACAATTTATTCAAAACGTTTGTGCCATACTTGAGAAAAATGTTTAAAAAAATAACTAGCGGTGCAACAGAATGGCTCAGACTTTCTCGCAGTAAAATTTTCTAATTTGCTTGGTGTGGGATAGCTTTACGGAATTGCCCCCATCCTCTTGGCAGCTGCTACCTACCACTGCCCCAAATACATTTTCTGAAGTTTTTTCTTTCTTTTTTTTTGTTTCCTAATGATGGATTCGAAATAATACTTTTACATTTTGAAAGGACAGTAAAACTTCGTCCTATATGGAAATGTTCGTTGAAAAATTTGAAGAAAGCATTTTAAAGAAAATTCCGATTACGGTCTAGTGTATATGCGAAATTTGAAGTTATTTTTAACATAAATCGTTTGTTATCGAAAAACTTAATTTGCAGTCATTTAAATAACTTTCTCTCACAAATGCAATAATGTATACAAATCGCTCGAAATGTCCATATTAACGGCGTGGGAGATATTTAATGCAATAACGTTAACAAATTGCAGCTAACGTAAATATTAACGACATGAGAGGCTAGTCAAAAATATTAGGTTTTTGAAATTTTGGCCAAAACAAAAGTATAGAGCAAAATAGCTTATAAGTGCCATTGCCTACATTTCGCACTATCCCTACCAAAAGTTTGGAGCCATTTGAGAGAATTTTGTTAATTTGTTATTTGAGTTTTTATTATATTTACGTTCTCACGCTTAAGAAGGAACGTCTTAAGAAAAGAAAGTTATGTAATGCAGCGCGAAGAAACCGGCGAATTTTCGGCAGAAAAACTCTTGTAACAAGAGTTCACAGAGCTCTTGTAACAAAAAGTGGGTAAATCGAATGGTTTAATTTAGAAAAAAATCCTGTAACACGTGGTATTTTGTGGATACTTGATACCCAAAAATGACGGTAAACATCTCTGTGAACAACGCTATAGGCCAAAGTGGTCAGCAGAGTTTCTCCAAAAGTGATATTCCTTCCCCTCCCAATCGATCTGGCTGATGTCGCGGCAATCGATCTTTTAATTTTTTTGGGGGGACGGGGGATACTTTACATGAAGCCCCTAGAACATTATCAAAATAAAAAAAATGGCGCCATTGTTTTGTTTAAATTTTGTTGTTGGGTAGTCTCAAGGACGTTTAAGAGAATGGCGTAGACTCCATGTTAGTTTGAAACTGATTTGTCGAAAATTGCAAAAGGTTTGCAATTTTGCAACATTTTCAAAATGGTTTCGGGGTCTACAAATGAAATATTAAAGATAAAGCTTTTTCCCTGAATTAAATCTGTTTTTTAAAGATAGATTTTCAAATATGGTCATATACAATTTTTCGAAAATTTGAGAATTTTTCGTGTGATTTTGCGAGAAATATAGGCAATTTTTAATTTTTGTTTAAACAATTTTTTCTCAAAAACGATGGAGCCGTGTTTGATAATATGTTGTTGTCCTGAGGGACGTTTAAAAAATGGTGCAGGGCCTCATGATGGTTAAAAGCTCTGGTTTTGAAAATTGAAAAAATTCAAAACTTTTTCGGTGTCTTCCTACAACTACAATTATGAAGATACATTCTTTTTCTTAATGAATGTATTGTTTCAAAAACATATTTTCAAATAAGAACATGTTGAATTTTTCGTAAATACATACATGAGTATTTTTGCAGTAATTGGGTATCATAAGTTAGTATCCCGCTTTGAAAATCCTGTGCTTCCTTATCGTAATTTTAGGTGTTTTGCGACAGTTGGATGCTACATAAGTTACAATAAGTAAATTATTTCACATTTTTGTGCTCATTTCTTACATTGCAGGTTTTGTTACACGTATACAAATTAATCCTTTACAAATTATTTAAAACACATTTGAAATAAATATGAAATAAAGATAGCTGGTCTTCAGTCACACGCCGGTTTCCGGTATTTGACAACGGAGCAAGGTGGAATGATAACAGAAGACGTTAATAGTAAATTATATCTAAAATAAGATGCGAGAAGATGGAGTAATGGTGATATTTGCAGAATTAGTTCATCTTTTTAAAACCAGTTCCAAATCAGACACGATATTTTGAGTAATGCCTCAAACAATTTGAAGATGGTATTCGAAGGAAGACAGAAATATGTGAAAAAGATAGTTATGGACTACTATTACAGACCGTTTACCTCGGTCTGTAATAGTAGTATAGAATCTCTAGTTTGATATCCGTGGAAAAATAGATTGAGATGCAAAGTGACCAAAGCATAAACCGAGTGTGTGGCTTGCGTGTCCCGCAAGTATCGCTTCCTCCGTCGGGGCTGGCCGCACGACGCCGGGCCTGGCCGTGCCGATAGAGGGCCCACAACTGGCGGGTGGGTGACGCAAAGGCGCAGAAGGGGAAGGGGGGGGCGAGGGTTTTCGTAAATTTCACTTTACGACGCTCCTATTCGTCCGATTTGCATGATTGTCACGGCGTTAGATTCAGGAAGCATGTCCCACATTTTCTAATTTGTTCTCGGAAGTTTGAGAACTAATTTCAAATTCGCGTTTTTGCTCGATTTTTGGAAAAAGGTCATCGTAGCGTAAATTCTATTTTAAAAAGGCGTCAAACGCCGTTTACAGATCGAAAATCGGACCATTGGTTCAGACGTTATCGGTAAAGTAAATTTTACTTATTTTGGTGCTGACATGTGGTGGCTACAAATTGTACTAGTGTCGGGACATTTAGCCTTAAGAAAAAAATGTATCTTCAAAATTGTAGTAGGAAAATGCAGAATTTGTTTGAACATAAGACCTGCATCATTCCCTTAAGTGTTTTTTGAACTAAGGTCCTACTTTAATAAAAAATGTTCTGCTTCTTTAAGAAAAAAAAAATTAAAGAAATAAAAAATACCTATGTTTGACAAAAATGTTTGCAAAAATTACTAATGTTTTTTAAAAATCGAATGTGACCTTATTTTGATGAACATATTTCATTAAGAAAAAAAGTCTTTATAATTGTAGTTGAAGGAAGATGCGGAACAAATTTTGAATTTGTTCAATTTTCGAAAAGTTAGACTTATCCACTAACATGAGACCTTCACCACATTCTTAAACGTCCTTCAGACTTCAACAAACGAAGTTAATCAAAATCGATGGAGTTCCTTTTGAGAAAAAATTGTTTAAACAAAATTAAAATTGCCTACATTTCACATTAAATTACGCGAAAAATACTCAAATTTTCAAAAAATTGTACATGACCTTATATCAAAACCTATCTTTAAGGAACATATTTTATGAAGGGGGAAAATATTTATTTTTAATATTTTAGTGGCATAAAGAGACCAAAATTTGTAATTTTCGAAAAATCAGGGTTTTCAATCCACATGAGACATGCGCTACTTGCTTGAAATATCCTTCAGACTATCCAACAAAAAAAATTAATCAAAATCGATGGCTCCATTTTTTGGTAATTTTGAAAATGTCCCAAGGACTTCATGTAAAGTACCAAAATTAAAACTACGGCTTCAATTCAAAGGGCCGCGACATCAACCAGATCGATTGGGGAATATCAATTTTGGAGAAAATCGTCTGAACGGTTTAGCCGCTAGCGTTGTTCACAGACGGACAGATGTTTTGCCTTCCGTCGATTTTTCGGTATCAAGGACTGGATTCTGACTACACAATTTTTTATATGCGACATTTCCCACTAAAGTCGTAGTAACTAAGTAATTCCTAGGCATTTTAGGATTCTCTTGATTCCCTAGATTTCCCCAGGGGGACTAAGAACTTCCTTTACTGCATTTATTATCAGTAATGCTAAATGCTTCCCGAGAGCAATTAACGAGATTGTAGATCGCCTCCAGACGTGATCCCCTGAAGGCGCTGACTGTGGATCTTGGGCATTGGACACTCCATGAAGTCGGGCTGCCAGGGGAATGACTAGGTATTGTGGAGTTGCGTGACACCCCACTCTCAAGTTGGCGGCCTGAGACAGTTAGTTGCCAGCGGCCGGTGTGAAGGTCGGGTGTGACGAGTGGGGGCGTGCGGGCAGCAGGCAGCGAAGAGGGTGCCGACCCAGGGGAGAGTGTGCGACCGGCGGAGCGGCGGGGAGTTCTAAAGGGGCGCGGGCGGGCGGGCGGAGTCGAGTGCCGTTGACCCGCCATAGAAGATCTGTATAGTGTGTATGATGTAAAAAGAGATGTAACCAGCGGGAAAAAGATTTATGAGCAGGGTTTTGTGGGGAGAGAAAGAGATGTGCTTATATTGTAGTAATCTAGCAATGAAATGTTATCGCTGAAACGTGCGTGTCTCATTGAAATAATTTTCCCTCCACGACGCCTTCCAAGACTAGACCCATCCTCAAGGCGGCAGTCACTTGGACCCCATCGCGGGTTTTATTAACTGGTCAGGTTTCAGTTTAACCCCTTTGGAAGCGGAGAAAGGGCTTCCATGCAAACTACGGTGTCTTATTTTCTTCCCCCTCTAAGAAGTGAGTATTAGAGGAAATAATATACTACATATAGGAACAAGATTTATCCAGATTACTAGGGCCTAGCAATGTTTTTTTTTTTCATCCCGCATTACAATACTTTTTCTTTATTGGGTAAGAAGTTGCGAGAAAGTGAAAAATCAGTGTGTTCAATACTATAGAAGCAGGAAGACGCTAAAATATTTTTATAAGACCTGCGTGCGATTTCATTCTGACACTTAAGGAAGGATAAATTGAATAATAGTAGAAAATATTGAGTTAAGGCGGGGCAGGCGAAAATAAATAATTGGATTTTTAAATAAACTAGTAAGGAAGTAAGATATGAGTAACTGAGGAATTTGCTGGATCGCAATATGTGTGGCAATGCTTTTTCTGTCGGAAGTGTTTTTCCTTTACTAATATTAAGTCTCAAAATTAATTATTTCATTATTTAAATATTTATATTTAATATAATTTGGCGATTCTTTTCTGAATTGCAGCCATTGAATTTTCAAACACTCCCCCTAAGGTTTCGATTCAGTTTTCTGTTCATGTTTCATCCAAGTACCTTATCAGAAGAGGTTTTTTGAATCACTGTGAACGGAATTTTGTTCCTAGCATTTTGTATTACTGAATGCCAATCTGTACAAACAAAAATGTGGAGATGAATTTTTTCTCCTCTTCTATTAGACCAAAATATTGGCCTCAAAAATGATATAAGAGGACACTTACTAGGAACTTATTTCATCCAAACTCAGAAACTGTATATGCACAAATGTAATTACATAGTGCCGATAGTTCTTAATATTATATAAAATACATTATCCTGTCTCTTCAGAGCCTGTAAATACGATTGTACTATTCCATATAAACATGTAGGTATATCATACATGTGTACTTATATACACTGGTGTTGTGGAAATTGCAAAAGACAGAAGGAATGGCTGGAATCACTTAAAAATCTGTAGATGTAAAGAACACCGTATTAACAAGAAATTGTGATTAAATTTGCATAGAGATGGCGTGCGCGTTGGCATAGCAGCGCCCTCCTTTGTGTGACAGGTCACGTCAGTGTTACGACACACTCAGAGTAGAGCCGACAAAGGAAATGGAAACGTGCAAGCAAGTGGCTCGCCGACGCCAAAGGTCGCAAAATCAGCACCTGAGTGAGTTCGAATGGGGCAGAATGATCGGACTCTGGGAAGCCGGTTTGTCGCAGCGTGACATTGCGACTCGAACGGGGCGCGCTGCTACGATGGTGATGCGTGTGTGGAACCAATGGAAGGAGGGTCGTATACAGCGACGAGCGGGTACTGGACCGCACAATGTGGCAACAGCGCGAGATGACCGCCCTATTGTCTGCATGGGCGTAACCGATAGAACGGCATCGTCCACAGTTTTGACTCGACTTTGGATCACTTCAACGCCTCAATTTGTGGAACGGCGATGGCCGCTTACGGGTGTGGCCATGACTGCGTCGACGGTTCGACACCATCTGCTGAGGACTGAACGGGTGGGACGCATACCACTGCGACGAATTCTGTTGAACAGAAACTACCAACGCCATAAGACACCAATGGGTATGTGAACGTGTTCCGCTTCAATTTGTGGTACAGCGATCGCCGCGACCGTGTTCAACGCTACCGCGGTGATCGCAATCTGCCAGCCTGCATCGATCTACGTCATAGCGAACAAACGCCAAGTGTGATGGTTTCAATTGCACATTGGCTACTACCCAGGCTCTCGTTGAATCCATGCCACGACGTTTAGAGGCTCAGATGGCGGCTTCACACATAAAATAAAGGTCAAAATGCAGATACAGTTCTGTAATTCTAATTTTTGTATATTGTGATATTCCGTATCTGCTGAATAAATTTCTTTGTAATAGTGTCTCCTTCTTGATGTTGCAATTTTCACAAACACCAGTGCATTAGTTATTAGTACCCATATGTTTTTGTATTTTTTCGCAAACGAATTTTTCACACGCAAATATTATGTCGCATACTCTTTGTTAGAACTAGTTTAGATTCGAACTTCGATAGCTTACAACTACCATCAACACAGTCTCCAACTGTAATGCCTACGACTACTAAATTCATCGAAATATTCTAACAGTAGTGTAATTATTATTGTAATTAATAGTATGTTTTTTTCTTACTTATATTCCTTTTCTCTTTGACCACTACATTCCATCTGAATTCTTCCAAGGTAATAGTGACTCCCTCTGTAGATATAGACATTTACAGGGAACGCGTCCCCATCTCATTAAACGCTCACTTCAACACTGTATTCTCAATTTGTTAATGATTTTTCTTTGAGCCAATCTGCAGAAGTTATTAATTATTATCTTAATACTTTCAATTATTGAATTAGCCCAATTAGGTTTTCTCTCATAAAATACGATCTAAATGTAATATGCAATAAAAAAAGGAACAAATCGAAACAATAATATTGTACGAACTTTTCTTAAGTTAATTATTTACCACCACCGAACGCAACGTTGCCAAGCATTGCAGCGTTATAGTAGTTGATTTAAAAGTGATTCGGATAATTTCATTATCGAACGGCGACATGGATAGGAGAGAGAAAATAAGACGATTTCATTCAGGTAATATTTTTGTTACAAAGTCGCTAAGCTCAATAACCTTGTAAATTCAACGTTATTAAAGTTGCGAATACACATACACACACAACGACAGAGAGACAGACACACGCGCAGACACAGAGAGACACACACAGCCAGAGAGAGAGAGAGAGAGAGAGAGAGAGAGAGAGAGAGAGAGACACACACACACAGCCAGAGAGAGAGAGAGAGAGACACACACACACAGCCAGACACAGAGAGAGACACACACACAGCCAGAGAGAGAGAGAGAGAGAGAGACAGACAGAGAGACACACACACACAGCCAGAGAGAGAGAGACACACACACACTCACACAGCCAGAGAGAGAGAGAGACACACACACACTCACAGAGCCAGAGAGAGAGAGAGAGACACACACACACAGCCAGAGAGAGAGAGACACACACACAGCCAGAGAGAGAGACACATACACAGCCAGAGAGAGAGACACACACACAGCCAGAGAGAGAGAGACACACAGCTAGAGAGAGAGAGAGAGACACACACACACAGCCAGAGAGAGAGAGAGACACACACACAGCCAGAGAGAGAGAGAGAGACACACACACACACAGCCAGAGAGAGAGACACACACACACTCACACAGCCAGAGAGAGAGACACACACACGCTCACACAGCCAGAGAGAGAGACACACACGCACACACAAAAACTGTTTTCTGCAATTTCCTTGACAGAAGCAATGTGTTCAGCAATTCTGTACTCACATGTTCATTTTCATTACAACTGATATTACAATCACTGAACTTTCAGCAAGCTTCGAGAAGATTCCAAAGCACGGTGCGGCTCACGCTCCACAAAGCATCAATGACTAGCTGCACTGATATTACGTAGTGTACTCCTCACTGACAGGTGGCTTACTACTTCTCTTCTTCTCCGCTGTGAGGTTATACTCGCATGGCGGAAGGCGATTGGCTACTGCGCATCGTATCCGACCTCAGCCAATGAGCTTCAGGCACTAGTTTTAGGAATTTAAAATGTAAAAATTATCACAAAAGAAACAGTAAAAAATCATAAAGTATTTTTTAAAATTATTGAATGTTAAACTTCAATTACACCTTCATCGAACAACGTCACAGTTGAAAATTGTTACTATGCTACTTACAAAATGTTCCCGCGCGCTGTCAGGCATACCACGCTCTCTGGTAGCGGCGTGGCGCGGCTCGGCTCGGTTCCGGTCGGTACGTCTCGGCTCAGCGGGGCTGCTCAGCGGCAAGGGGTTCGCGGAAGTTCGCGGAATCCTGGCCCTCGACCTTGCGCGCCACCGCCGCCGAACGGGGTCTGTGGAGCCGCTTTTTTCCTCCGTCAGCTGTTCTCGACCCACCGCCAAGCGCCATCTCGGCTGCCGCAATCCTCTTCCGAGTGGTTGCGTGTGAGGCGGATGGCCCTTATAAATTTTTCTATAGTGACCGATGACATTATGTCACTTTTTAACTTCTTGCCTTCTAAAATGAAAATTTTTAATTAATTCACGATCGTCCTTCTCAACGGGCATCGTCTCAGAAATGTGCTTACCACTGCTGAAAAGATTCATTTTTCATTCATTCTGCTGAAAAGATTCATTTTTCATTCAAGGACCTATTGTCATCGGCCACTATAGAAAAATCGAAGAAGTGTAAGTACTCAGCTGCGGTCGCGGCGCTTCTTCCGCAATTTTCGATAATCAGGGATTTCAATGAAAATCTCTCAATTTTTAAGAGTTATTTATACTATCCGAGGACAAATTTTAATAAAAAAACATTTGAGTCATTTTTGAGAAAATTTTGAAATTGTAGATGAGGCTTCATATAAAGTATCCCCCATAATCAAAATGTGCGTTTCAAACACGCAGGGTCTAGGTTCGTTCAGATCGATCGGAGCAGTGGCGACTGCGGCAGGAAGACGCTAGGGACACTGCCCCCCTACTGAGATTAGTATTTCTTCTCTTGCACTGTCTAAAATAATCTCTGTCGGTCTGTAGGGTTGTTTTCGAATCGAACCCATCTCTAGCTTTCAAACTCTCGCCTCTGTGTTCTAAACGCAGTGTTGTAATGGAACGTACTGACATAAAAATGGCCGACAACAATTGCTCGAATGGCAACGTAAGATCGGCAAATGGCGTCTTGTGACGGCGGCCGCCGAGCAGCCTGATAGGGGAGGTAGCAACCTCGTTCCCCGCGCTATCTATTGATCAATTTTTAAACTTCCAATATTCTTTTCGCTTGATTTACGTCTAGGCCAGTGCTATCTGCTGGTATTCTGTTTAACTGATCTCCCTTTTCGTAAGCATTCAGTAATGTGCAATCGGCATTGTCGGCATCACCTTTCCGATCCGTAGACAAACTATGTGAATGCTGTGTTCCGATCTTTGCGTCCAGTTCGTGTACATTGAGATTGAGAATGGTTGGCAATTCTGTAAAATGCCTGAAAACAGTCAATGTAGTTATGATACAAGGCTGTGCATGAAGAGAATTGGACCACCTCAGACTAATATAAAAATTTTACAGTGATAGAAATGGCAATCGTTCTTTTGAACGAAAATTTCAAAGGGGTAAATAACCATATTAATTTTTGGGGGAATTTATCCATGTGTTTTGATTGTAAAACGTTCCAACAATATCAAGAAAAATTCCCCCTACAAAGGGTTGATCGCGTTTCACAGTTCTCTCGGCTCGTGAGCTAGCAAACTGAAATCTGAGCTGGATGTGCTATATAAAAGAATCCGAGGGAGCTTTTTCCACTTTGAAAGGATTATAGACATTTTTAAGAAATACTATGTCGGAAGAGAGATTGAATGGACTTTATGTCTTCATTATAAAGAGTTTTGTTACAAGACTCATTTAATTTTAAATAATTAGTAATAGATTTACAGAAAGTAAAAACGGAAGACTCAATTTAATTTATAGATCATGTGTTTAGCCTGTCTTCAGGGGAGAAAATTCGATTGTAAATTTTACTTATGACTTAAATAATCCAAATATAACAATACTTCAAATGCCTGACTTTATTTGATCCTGTAACTTTGTGTGCCCTCCCTGATGCCTAATCCCAGAGCCGCCACTGGATCGGAGAATAACAATTTTGGAGTAAATCGTCTGAACGGTGATGCGCTAGCGTTGACCACAGTCAAACGTCATGCTGTCTTTCGATTTTCCGGTATCAAGAACCCACAAAATCTGACAAAGAAATCTGACTTAGAGGAAGTAATTATCTAGATATAGGAAAAAGATCTATCCACTTTTTTTAACCAGAGCCTGGCCTTGTCTTGTAAATAATACGTAATTTAATGTATCCATTATGAGGTTGATGAAATAGGTATCCGTCATAAGGTGCAGGAAACTTAAAGAGAACCTGCTTAAACTTTAAGGACTTTGAAAAGATTCCCTGCAAGCATGATTTGAATGAAATTATTTCGTTACACTCGTCTTGTGAGAGTGCGTATTTGCGTGCAGATGACTAACAAAACATATCACAACCAAAGAATTTATGTCAGTCAAAGTTGCGGGCATCTGAGCATTAGTACAAATATAGTATATTATTCAACGAGCCTAGAATCATAGCTATTATTCACGAGTTGATGTTTACGACATGAGCTTCACAGGACTAAAATACTGCAAAATTAGACTATTTCCGATTTAATAATCCGGAATGATAGATGACGTAAGTAATGTTTCGTTGCACCGCGGGCCTGATAGAGGATTCCTATACGGTAATTAAGAACAATAAAGTCAACCATCTATTCTTACTATTACATTCAGATGCAGAGTGGGCAGTATTAAAATAATTGTATATGAAATTCGTATTTTAAATACATTTTGTATTTGAATAACTGTCTTTGTTTGAACATGTATTTAAATACATACAATAGATGTATTTTAAAAAAGAAATACTAATGTGCAGTGGAAGAAAATAACGAGGATAGTTTCTTTCTGTTTGATCCTCTTGTCAATGCACT